GCTAGAGGAGAGCCCTACAACCCTTTTCTTGAATTTCATAAAATGGCTCAGTTTTCACAGTTAACGGCTCATATTCTGAAGGTCTTAGTGTGAAGGTTTTAGTCCAGCTATCAATGTTGTCATAGCAGAGAGGTTTCTGCTAGGCATATCTCATCCTGTCCTGATCAGATTCATTTAAAGGTTAATGTCTTTCTTCCAGTCAGAGACCCTGTTCCCTGACAGGAACTAAATCTTGTCCCGACATCCTTGATGGGATAGATCTCTCACCTGTTTGTATTGGCACCTGGCCTGTGTTCTGAAGATTTAGCAAATAGAAGAATAGCACCAATTCTAATAAAAATGTGAAAGAGTAGGAGAAAAAAGTCAGTAATCTGCTTTTGTCTATACTTGGTTCAAGCTGATTGTAAGGCAACCTGGAAGAAGATAGAGGCAAATTACAATTTTTTTTCCCAACACTTTAGTTATATAAATTTAATGGCCAGACTGTGTTTTCTTATGTATTAAATATTTCCTTTAAACTTATGGGCTTTATTTTGCATTGATCAGTACACATTTTCCTGTGTACTTGCTTGTAATTCTCACTTGAAATAATAAAAATTTAAAAAGTAATTTAAAACGTCTCTGAACTGAAGGCAGACTGGATTGAAAGAATGGATGACATCCTCAGCCTAAACCCACTACTTGGTGTATAAAAATTTTCACTAAATGAGGATGCTTGTTGCCATTAACTATGAAGTTGAGATTTTTATTTTTTTTTTTTTTGTGGTCTGAGATAGTGATACAGAAATTCTGTACCCATTCTGAACACCAAAAAGGCTCAGGAAATCTTGATAGCTTCTTGTATCTGTTGGCTTGCATCTGCTGTCCCTGGTCTATCCTAGACTTGGACTTCAACTCACATGCCAACATTTGGTTTTGAATCTCTTCTAAATTAGAAATGGTAACCTACTCTCGAGCATACGGTATGAACATGACTATTTGTTTTGGCAAAGGAAAGCTGCATGATTAACAGTAGTTTTAGAATAAAATGTTTCTTTGTTTTGTTTACAAATGATCAGGAATTTGGATTTGGTGGTAAATAATTTTAAGTGGAGAAATATAACTACTAAAAAGCAGTGTAATAATATGTCTGTAGAGCACTTTGAAGATAAAAGCTCTATATACTGTAAACATTATTACTAGTATAGCTTAATCTATGTGGAATAATTAATCTAGCATAAGCAAAACAGTTTTTTTAATGTACAATATAGTGTTTCACCAAGTCTAATGCATCTATGTATTTACTTTTACATTGTAACATAAGAAATTCATCCTCTTATTTTTTTAATATCTGTGTGTTGCAATGATTTACTTTGTTACTTTCCAAATGTAGAGGCAGTCCTAATCCAGAACAACCTGCCAGAAATGTGAAACGTTTAGTCTGGGAGGCATAATAGGTGGGTTTTGTTCAAGATGATGTAAAAATACTGTGCAATGAGAACTAGGTGCCTGTCAGATATGGAGGTGTTTGGGGGTCAGTTGGACTTCTTAGGCTCCTACTGTGGCTTTGGAGAAGACTTGACTGAATTTAGTTACAGAGCCATGCAGGTGCCAGATTGCGCTGGGAAGTGAACACCTGCCAGGCTGCTCCCGATAACTCAGCAGCTCAGAGGCATTTTCCCAGGCTCCCAGATGAATGGTCCGTAATAGCCGTGGGAGAGGGCTTCCCACTGCTCCACGCTGTACCACAGCCTCTTCTTGGCAGCCTTCTGGAAGCACGAGTCAGCTTGGCTGGGACTCCTTTGGAAACAAGTGTTGCTGGATAGTCTTACAGTAAAGAGTCAGTGTCTGATACGTCCTCTCGGTGTCGTGGGACTATGAAATATAATGAGCAAGGCAAATTACCCTTCCCTTAAAAGGCAGCACTCACTGGTGTGTGTTTCAGCTGAAACTGAACCGTGTTTTTTCTAGAACCGCTTTTATTCTGTCACAATTTGGGTTTCGGGTTTTTTTTTTGTTTTCGTTTTTGGAACCTGGGTCTAATGATTTAGGTGCACAGGTTTGAAGTAAGAAAAGCAAAACTCCAAATCACTAACAGCATATTTTTTTTTCTGCTTCTGCGTTGGTAATCTACAAATGGAACTTGTCTATGTTGCATGATGAAGAGGAAATTGAAGATTGGGCCGAGTGGGTTTGCTGAGCCTAAGATGAGTGAAATTTCTCTAGGTATTTCTGGCTGCGAAACAGTGTTCGTAGGTCAAGGTTAAAACTTGTGTGGTGTCCTTGAAAGGAGTTAACTGCTGGATCATTTGGTACATATCACTTGGTCTGTCCTTCCAGATACCATGAAGAGCAGCTTTTGATCCTTCCTGAGTGTACGCTGGGTAACCCCTTCCCTGGAGCATAATCCACAGCTTGCCCGAAGCCAACATTAGTATACGCTAGTGTATAAACAGTGTCGATGGTGGACAAGTCTGGAATTGAGAACAGAATTAGACTCATGCTGAGTAACTGTGTAGAAAGTTAAAAAAGCTGCAAGTTGAGTGAGGTTGTTGGATGAGAAGGTTTTCTTGAGGGGCTTGGTTTTTAGTTTCTTATTTCATGAAGCAGAATGTTTAATTGGATAATGTTTTTCTTGAAGGGAGCAGAAAGACAATATCACAGTTCTTACAATTCTGCAGTAACTTTGGCAACTTTAAAACTAGGGAAGTTTTGCAAACTCCAGCTTACTATGGATTAGATCAGATGTCACATACAAGAGGGTTTCAAAACATTTGATGAGCGTAGCTGTGTGATAACTTTCAAAATACAGGTATCTTGAATATAATGCATCTTAAAATTTTCTCACAGATAGCAATAATAACAGCACATCATCTGTTCAGGCTTTTTCAGCAAAGTCAAGTAGTAAATAGTCGTGGAAACGAAAATTATTTTCTAGTGTTAGTCCCTCTGGGCTGAGCTTATTAGCTCAGGTGCAACTCCCTGTGAAGGCTTTGTAAGACTTTCAGGCTTAAGCTGACACTGCAAAAATAGTGTAGAGGTGTCTTGATCTCTTATAATTATTTTTTTTGTTAGATTTGAGGTAGGTGTTCTCTTCCAGAGAACAGTAGCTAACTGAATCAAGGGCCTTTAAGAGGAATTTGAAACTTTGTTCAGGCCATTAGTCAAACAACTATGCTTAAATACTTAACTTCTCAGAGAGTACCAGGATAGCAAGAAAAATAAACAGATGTACATGTTACTGATTCATAAAAGAATTTCAGCAATTAAATATTGTGGTTTGTGAAAAGGAAAAAATTCACACTTTTGTGTTTTAAGTTGTTCTCAAGAAAAATATATTTGGAATATCCCTGACAAACGGAGGTGGAAAGACTCTTAATAATAACTTACTCGCTGTTTGAAGATTTGTTTACAAAGTTGTGCTTTTATGAATGTTACTTTTTCAGCATTACAGAGGTCACAGTGGAAGATGTTATTATCACACTAATAACTTATTTATATACAGGGCAAATTCCTCCATTTGGCTAATCCTACTAACAATGCTAAAGAATTGTGGATGCCAAACTGGAAATAGCTAAAAGTCATTTTCTTTAATTGTGCTCATAAATATACAGTTAATAAAGCTGATGGATTACATCCAAATTTTTCTCTAGCACTCATCATTTTTAAGGGATGGTTCAACTTGTCACATCTTGACTCGATCTCTAAAGGGAAGTCAAATTTTAGGTATCTTCCTGAGGGGAAGGAAAAAAGATGGCTGATAAATTTCAAAGGGATTGATTGTGATCAATAACTATAGTTCTTAATGAGAGCTGATGCTGAACAGTACTTGATGGTGAGCTCCAGGAGATCTTGTACAAGTAGGAGAGTTGTAGACTCTGCAGGAGAGGACATGCATTTTGGGGCTTATACTTAGGAATAAGGCATGCCTTGGCATTTACTCAGTAGAGATTGAGACTGGAACAAACAAGTTTTCCTTACTTCTTTGTAAATGGTTAGATTAGAAGACCAGCAGTAGCACTTCATTTTCTAACTTTTCTGTGGTAATTGCACCTAGGGTATCTGACTGTCTTGGCAGCAGCAATAATTAGTCTTGCAAAACCCATCAGAGTTAGGGGAAATACCCTCTTTTGCACGTTCATTTTAGTGAGGTGTACAGAGAGACTAAGGAGGAGGAGTCACAGATACTAACCTCTTTCAATTTCAGTAGGAGTTAGATTGCTAAATACCTTTATGAATCAAGTCCTAACTGATTTACTCAGGGTCATTTGGGAATTTAAGTAGAACAAAAGTAAAAGCTGATTTCCTTAGCCATAGTCTAATAGTCTCTTTGCTGTAATATAATCCTTTCTGCCCTTTTCTTATGCTCCTGCTGCACAAGGATTTCTGTCAGTCTCAGGAACAGGAACTGAAGAAGGCTCTGTTTATGTTACAGGTATCTGCTGGGTCAGCCAGGCTAGCGCTCTCTACTTGTAGATATGGAGGAGTTCAAATATACGCATTTCTCACTTAATGAAATTGCAGATAGTTAAGACCTTTCGTGTTTGTTTGTGGGGTTTTTTGTAGCCAGCATTTTTTTCTGTCAGCTTTGAGTATGTCACCTTTCTTTAGAAGGCAGTTAAGTAACTGGTCATCTGCAGTGTTCTTGTAGAAATATGTATGAAGACATCGTAGTGACTAGGACTCCAGCCTATTGGACTGGTGACTGTGACACTAGACTATTAAGCAGATAACACCTCTGATTAGTTAATTGATTTAAATTTATTTCTGTGGTTGGATTCTAGAACATGGTGGTTAGTAATTTGTTTAGATTTTCCCTGTTTCAGATATTAATTTCTTGAGTACTCGGTATGAGCAGTTTCTTTTTAAAACTTTTACTTAAAAGTTACATTTTATTTTGTATTCTTGAGCTGCTGCTGCTGCTTTCTCTCAATCCTGAGGGTGCAGATATGCACCACTTTGAGACCAGAATGCCCAGGATACCCTTACACTTATTATTATCCCTTTGTTTTATGTTGCAGCCAACAGTTTTCACATTACTGCCTACTTTATGAAGAGATGGGTTAATCTCCGTTGTGCTGTAGAAAAAAAAAAACATTATTGTGGTAAGAAATCAAATTCTTATAGTGTTACTTAGAATTTTGCATTTCTGGGAGGAAAAAAGGAAACAAAAACTAATACTTTGTTGGATTTTGGTCTACTTAATCAAAATTTCTTTCAGAGGTTGATTTAGGTTTTTTTCAGAGATTGTTTACTTAGGAAAAAAAAAAAAGGGAACTTTTTCTTAACATACGATGGATTTTTTTAAAAACTTAATTTTAAATTTGTGTATGCCTTGCCCCAGGGTAATCAGCTAAGCCACACCAAATTCTGTAAGTATGATGAGACTCAGCATTGTACTGAGTCTCTGCAGGGTGAATCAACCAGGAGTTGCAGTATGAATCACTTCATTATTGCTCGAGTGTCTTGTGACATCAACTGTACAGTACAAGTGTATGCAAGAAAAGGCTTTCATTCACCTCAGTGCTATAAAATCCTTACATAGATGATGTCATTGGACCAGATCTTTTTTTTTCATGTTTTCTCAAGCCAAGATGCTCTGTTAGGAAGTGATATCAAACCTCTCCCGCCAGCAGCAGTAGAAAGGAGTTATAACGATCACTGCCCTTTGTGTTGAGCTTTTTGTATTAAAAAAAGCAAAATAAATCAATTAGGTGCCCTTAAAAATATCAAACACTTGAAAGGATATTTTTAAAGAATTTCTTATTTTTACAGGGATCCATTTTATTCATAAATGTTTAAATCTCTCTTAAAATGCCAGCTAGTTGTTTTCTAAGTCCATATGGTTGAAGAGATTGGAGTGTTGACTTTAAATATTTCATCAAACTTGTTCTCCCAGCCTCCTGGAAAAATCGTTAAGAGTAGAATAGCAGAGTATCTGCATTGGTGTCTCAACATTGGTTCTTGTGTATTAAATTTGACGTTTTTTAAACGTCAATGAATACCTAAATATACTTTCATTTTGTTAGCTAGCAAGTGAGATTTTTATAAAATGTAGCAATAAAAATGTCTGACTGAAATGAACTTGCCCTACTAGTGCTGCCAAAAATTGAGGCTCTGATGCTGCAGTCAAAACTTTGCTTCCACACAAAGTTCATAACAAGAAAGGAACTTCATTTTGGTGGGTTTTGCTCCCAATAAATAGCATAATAAGCACATATCCTCGAAAAATAAATAATGTGGCACCAGTGTTTCTATTGTGAGGTATACCTAGTTTTTCATAGACAAAAACCAGTCCTTGAGCCCAATAGAAAAAGTGTCTTGTATACTTTGTATCTGTGATGCTCACTCGATATCTAAAGTAAACTTACCAAAGAGTCTAGTATTGGAATGCCACAGAACAAATTTGGTCCTTACAACAGTTGTCCAGCTTTTCTTTTGTAAACCATTTGGAAGATGTCTGAAGACTGTATGCAGTTTGAAAGCCATTGTACTAGATCTTTGAGTGTGGCTTTTCGGGTCTTGAGGATAGAAGCAGAGGAACTACAGTCTTGGACGTAAGGCATAGCAGGAATACTGCCTCGGACACAGTTTTGATTACAGAGTTGATATTTCTGAAAGGGTTATGAAAGGCTCATATTCATTATCAAGATATAGTAGCTTAACAAGCTGTTGTGCCTGCACAGATGCATCTGAAGGTCTCTGTGTATGCTTTTTCAACCAACAGCAAATGCAAGGTAGTCTGTTTCAACATCCCCATCTTTCATTGTAATGACCCTAGAAAAGTCGCTGCTGTGCGCACTCAGAGGGGTTTCTCAGATACTAATGGAGATACGCCCTTGGTGAAGGAGCAGTACATTGTAGAGAGATAGTAACCCATAAGGATGATCTGATCATCACTGGCAAATTGTGCACATCATGCCTATACTCAATTTATTGTAAGGAGGTATTCTATGAAAAAAATCTATCAGGTCAACCTTCTGTTTTTTCTGCATGCCTTGTTTCTTTCTTTCCCAGAAAATAGGGTGCTATGGCTTGTTTTTGAAGTATAACAAACTTGAAAAATTAGTAACTCTCTCTTTATAAAACAAAAATCAACAACAAAAAAAATCTGAGCTGAAAATATGTAGATATTAATCTGGAACTAATTGATACACAAAATAACAAAATATCTAGCTATGCTTTTTTCATAGCATTGCTGGGTACTGAATAAAGCTTTGACTAGTCTATTCTAATCTGAGAATCTTTCAATTTTTAATTCTTTACAAATAGAAACTTTGTTGTGTTCACAGCAAACCATGTGACCTTGAGTAATATAGGTAATTCAGTAGTAGTTAACCAATTTGTTTAATGACTTAAAAAAAATCACTGTAGTCAGTTTGAAATACTTAGCCTTATGCTGAGTTTCTATGCCAAGTCCTGACTGTGGTGTGCTGTATTACAAACATGATTTACAACTTTTGTGATGAAAAGACTCATCACCAGAATAGCACAAAAGAAATCATCGTTAAGTGGTTTGTCTGTTGGTTCTGTCTGGTATATCTGTCCAGAGGTGCAGGTGGACTAATTTGCAGCCATGACTATCCTCTTGGGAATTAGACTTACTCTGATTTATTGATTTTTTTTTTTTTTGAATGATTTAAAAAAGCAAAACAAAAGGAGGGATGTGATGTTGAAGAGAGTAGGTAAGAAACTAGTAGAGTGTATGAAGTGAGTTAGCACACAATTTAAAAAATAAATTATTTTGTTTCCTAAAATAACATGTATCTATGTTGTCATGTGTGCTTTTGAACATGCATATAATTTTTGTAATCTTCTTTTCAATTCTTTTTGTATAGAACTACGTGTGTTTCCAGACAGATTTATAGTTTTTGTCAGTAAACTGGAATCTGATCTAAGTGCTTGGACATGTGAAAATGGTGTATTGGTATGTACAAAACTCTTCTGTAAATTTTCTGGTCTAGTTTATAGTGGTAAGATGAATGTTTATGTATGGATGTAGTAATTGACATATTTGTGACTGTTATCTTGGAAACAGGAAGTCGCATTAACAGTTGGGCCAAAGTATTCAAAAAGAGCTCCTGAAATGACTCTGAAACAGACAAAAATGGTAATTTTTTGGAAGCTCAGCATTTTCTGGGCCATATAAGTCTCAGAGAAAAAGACCACGTATTTAGAAAGCTAGGTATGATTTTAGCACCTTGTTTTAAGGATTTTTTTCCCTTTATATTTTGTCCTTGTAAAATTTTATTTTCCAAAATTATAGTGGGGCAGTTTTTAATATCCATGGGTTTCTTGTATGTTTTCTTAGCGCTTGTTCTGCAAAACAACTCGAATATATCAGAACAACAAAAAACCCAAACAAATATCTACAGAGAAAAAGGTGCTGGTGTGTTGTTAAATATCATAAACAATTCTACTTAAATATTTCATCCTGAAGGTTTTACCAGGGTCAAAGGCTTATGAATTTTATGCTGCAGTTAACAGCTGATTGTCTCAGGAGTGCTCACATTGACCCAGGTGGCTGCTATCTGGCACGCAGTCTCTTCTGTGCTCACAGTAAGAGTCAGAATTACACACTGAGGTCTATGTATATTTTAGTAGTTTATCTTAGATGTATTGAAGTATATTTGACCCTTGAAAAAAAGGTTTTCTTCTACTCATTCAAAAATATTTTTTTAATATCAAACAGGGTGTTTTTATTTATGATAGTAAATGCAGATTTTTATTATCTCGATTTCTACATTGGTAAGTATCCTTAAATGTCAAAGGATCAAGTAAATGTTTTTCTCTCTCAGAAAAAAATTGAACTGCTTTAGAAGTACTTTACTACGTTGAAAATTATTACTTTCTTGGTGTTGTCTTGAAAACTAATTAGATGCTTTAAGTAGAAAATCCTGTCTGCATTTTGACTGAGAAATAAGTACCTTTTTTTCTTGCTTAAGTAGCTCTTATGAGATATCCAATTCCCTCATTTGGTATTTTTAATCTTTCCATAAAAGATGAGAAGTTTTCTTTAGTTTCTTTCACATGATTCTGTCTAGTAAGTAGAAGGCAACTGAAAAATATAATGTTACGGACTTCAGCTTGACTATTTCAAAGTCTGGACTCTATGATCTTAAAGGTCCCTTTCAACCTAGACGGTTCTATGATTCCTCATTCTAAGAGGAACATAGAGTTTGTCCCGAGTCTCATTTCCTGTGTTTGCCCAGATAAACTCCTTGGAAGATGTCTTTTGATGGGGGTAGAATAATTATCTCTGGAAACAAACAACACACCACCACCAAAAACAAGTAAACAAAAAGTCACCAAGGGGAGCTGCTCTGGAGCTGCAGGACAGATTCATTTGGACAGGGTGCTGGGCCATCTTACCTAGACTGTGCTTTTGCCGAGAAAGGTTAGACCAGATGAACCTTGAGGTCCCTTCCAACCCAGTATTCTGTGATTCTATGATTTGATGTTGATCTATGGAAACCCCTTGTTGTTTAAAAAGGGAGTTTAAACATTTTAATTTTTAAAAATAAATAAATCTCTTAGTGGGATCATAACCTAAGCAATAATAAAGTCTTGGGAATTTGCTTAACTTACAGATGCAATACATGTGCATAGAACTGTCTGGAACAGTCAGTGTACTATGCTGGTAGGAGAGAATAAGATAAAGTTCTCTCTAAGCCATCTTTCCTAATTGGAAGAACTAAGAAGATACGAACAGACCATCAACAAATGTTTTGGAGTATCTTTTTAATTCTTAACGCTTTTCCTTAAAGGGTCCACTCCAGACTGTTTTTGTTGATCCAGAATTTCTACAGCACATTAGTACTGAATTTGTCATCTATTCCAGTTCAGTACTTTGCCAAACTGGAGAAGTGTTTGATTGCCACTGAGAGGTAATTGTAAGTTTTTGGCAGTCCAGAAGTAGAGGCTTAGGATCTGCGCTTCGTGTGTGTACTTTTCTCTAGGCAATTTAGCAGTGAGTATGCTTGAACTCTAAACTAGGCTACAGAAGACCACCCAGAAGACCTTTCTGTTGATATACTCCAGTGTATTCTGTCATGGGCTAAAAATGAGGCATATGTTTTGTTTTCCTCTGTATGTTGTTTAGGTTTGAATAATTTCGTAATGTTGCATGCAAGTTCTTTTAAATGTTTAATCAGCTCACGCCCTTGGTTTTGAGGGCCTATCTGCGTTTTATAACTATACGTTAATGGAAACTTTGTCACTTTTCAGTGTTGCTTAATGTCTTTGCAATTGACCTAGTCAAGACAACAATTATTTTTTTAACTGCTTTTATGTTGTTTTACGGTTTGGGTCAAGCTTTCATTCCTCAGCTCTGTCAAGACAAGTCAGGCTCAATGCCCTGCTTTCCCATTACTTGGAACCAGTTATATGTCAGCCTGATACAGACACATTTCTTCCACTTATTACAACTCTCTTTCTTTACCTATCTTCAGCACTTTATTCTTTGCATTTTCACAGCCTTTTAGGCAGCTGTTCTCTGTATCTCTGTGATACACTGTGATTAACCCGAGGGTTTCAAGGGATGTAGGCAGATATGAAATGAAATTCTGAAGTCCTACATCTTAGGAAAGATCATAATTAGATTGCTTCTGAGATATTCACAAGCACAAACCTTACCATCAATTGCTGAGAGAAGCAATTTGAAGCCTTCTGTGATGCATCTTGTAAGACCAATGAAAAGGTGGCTTAGGCAGTCTGTCAAATTAGCTTTAAGCATAAACTAATAAAAGATTTGAGAGCACTTCTAAGGGGTGGAGCTGAAATAAAATAAAAGAAAATCAATTGATATGTCATTTTCTGTGTTCTAAAATCTATTTAGAAATGGATGTTCCTGTGGTCATATCTAAAAATCAGGCTACAGGCAGTAAGAATCATTTTGGAAGGGAAATCTCTTAAAGAATCTCTTGAAGAACTTGCTGTATTAAAGAAACAATACAGCAAGTTATTGAAAATACATAAGCAAATTGGAAGTCTCAACGAAAAGGTGGAAGAATAGCCTGGCTGATTAATGCTGAGTTTAAACATAAACCCATTGTTTCCTGTTTTGCCAAACTATGTTTGTAATCTTGAATAGTTTTATCTTGAAAAAGACGACAGTTTTGGGAACATGGCAAAAGAGGAAACCCAGGGAAATATGTAAGAGCTCTGGACAGATTAGTCATCTTTTGTCAATGGCGACATTTTCTTGATGATTATTAGTAGAGAGCTAAAATGGAAAACTGAAAACAGGTTATCTTGAAGAAACAGTGGAAATGGAAATGGGTGGAAGGCTTACTAGAGAGGCCTGTGAGCATTTGAAAATGTGCTAACAATGAAGTATTCATTGATCACCACATCGGCTTTATACTAGAATCTATGAGAGGAAGCAGTTGTAGGGAGAGCACGAGGGAGGTTAAGCTAGTGATGATATTAAAGTGGAAATCTGAAATCACAATTCATATGAAATCAGAAAAGAAAGTGGGGAGTAGGAGAGCGTATCTTGATTAAAAAGATCTCAAAGTTTCCACTGAGCCTTGTTAAGTTCCAGAGAATAATGTACCAGAAAAAGAAATATTATTTTCCAAACAGTGTATTACTCATAAAAAATCCAACCAAACAAAAAAAACCTACATAGGTGTGCAAGGAGGAGAAAAATGCTAAAGATATCCCCAACACAGAAATAAAAACAAACTATTAATCATCTTCATACATGTCTGAGTTTATAAATTGTGTCTGTAACATACTTAAGAAAGAGAACTAACGTACCTCAAAACTTGTAAGAGTTAGTGACAGATTTGCTTGGTTTTGATTATGCTGGGAAGAGGCTCTTTCATGGAAAAAAGAGGTTCTTTCATGGAAACATATGCTTAGCTGTAATTAACAGGAGACTTAAACATTAGAGTATATGTTGCTGGAATTGTATGTCTATTGGAAGGTAGAATGAAAACTTTTTTCAGATAGCAGCAATTTGTAAAGATTAGTAGAAGACTATGTGAAATTTAGTTATCTTAAATACTTTAAAGACTATTGTTAAGTGATATCAGATTGGGTAGGGGAAGAAGGAAATGCTGTGAAATACAATTGCACAATTCACACTGTCTAAGTGCTAATCTTGGCATGGAACTGTGTGTGTATATATATAAGATCATAGTTAAACTGCTGTAATAATGGGTTACTACTGAAAAGGTCAGTCCACATCCCTTCTAGTTCCAGCTATATATTCCTTTCCTTTCTGGTTACAATGGACCAATGATTCTTCAGTCAAGAATGAATTAGTTCACTGACTTGATCCAGCAGAAAATGATTTATTTGTGATGTTTCTCTGTTTTTTGTTGGAGGATTAGTTTTCTGTCATGTCAGTTCACTGAGCCAACTCATCCTGTACCCACACAGTTGCCAATTGTGACATAAAAAATGTTGTGTGAGCACGCAGCCAGGATTTGGATGAAGAGAGCAGGACCACTCCTCTAGGTAGCAGCTGATAGTTACCCCAGTTTGGAAGTAATATCCAAAATACATGTTAATGTTACATTTGTTGTAGTACTTGTCTTGTTGATGGTTTTCAACTTCATTATCCTTTTTTAAATTTCATAAAATCTAGTTTTCATGGGTTTTCAGATAATGTGCTTAATTCTTTTCAGTCATTATAGGAAACATAGCTAGAGGAAAACAATATTAAACTGTAGTTTCGTAGCTGTATGAATAGCGTTCACTACTTTTTGAAAAAAGATAGAGAGGGGAAACTGCAGACTAATGAACCCCATCCATATAGTACATAGTAGAACAGGCTAAAGAACTGCTTTTCTCTTTGGTGAGTTTTTCCTTTTGACACTTAAAGCTTTGTCACTTTTTTTTTCTGCTCATCCTTCACATTCTGCTCAAGCTGATGTAAGACTGATGAAACATGCGGTCCCTCCTGCCTTCTCTTCT